AATAAACGTTAAAAAAAAAAAAATTAAAAAAAAAAAAAAAAGATTTACACCCTCGGATTCTTGCCCTTAGCTCTGTAGTCGCATGCCTAGCCCTCACTTGCCTTAGCAAAAGCCTGGGGTTTATTCTACGGCGTAGGTAGATTCTCTCAGATTCTCTTCCATAACTCAGCAGCCAAATGTGTATCACTCTTGGCCTCAGCAGAATATGTTCTTGTCATAATACTGTATTTTGATTTAATGAGAGATTGTGACATAGGAGTAATAATAGCAGAGATATTTCTAGTGCTTACTGTGTTCCAGGCACTATCGAAATGCTTTACATGCATTAAATTATTTGATTCTTACAGTAACCCTGTAAAATAGGTACTATTGTATCTCATTTCATATATGAGGAAACAGAAGCATAGAAGTTACAGGACTTACTTATTCAATGCCACATAGCTAGCGTGGGTACAGCTGGTTCCAAAGCAAGGCAGTCTGACTGCAGGGTCTGTGCTCTAACCACTAGGCTATACTTCTGAAGGAGGAAATAAATTGATGGGGATTGAAGATGGGAGGATGGTATGGTGGCGGTGATGATATGTGATAGTGGTGGGCAGTGGTAATGTAAGAAATCTGAGTCCTCATTTTCCTTAGTAAGACCTCAATAAATAACATATATAGCTAAGAAGTAAAACAGAACTATATTACTGATATATATATGAAGGTAAATAGCAGAAAACCGCTCAAAAGAGTTGGTATGTGGGGACTAAGTCTTGGAGATTGAAAGGAGTGAAATGGGGGATTCATTTTTCGTTACCACTTTTGTAATTCTCTTTGATTTTAACTTATGTATGTGAATTACTGCAATAAAAAATTTACAGAAGAAAAGAAAAGAATTCACCGGTATTTAATTTGGTAATGAAAGATGATTGTTTTTTGGTTTATACAGATAATGGGATATATTTTAATTGGTAATTATTTATATTCTAATAGCTCAGAGTTTTTCCTTTTAAATGAAGTTTTTCAGTGGTCAGGTCTTGTATCTGTTACAATTATCTAAGAAACATTCTTTATGCCTGGAATGATAATTACTGTTTCATGTACTTTTCTTACTGGTTTTTTTTTGTTTGTTTCTTACTGTTTTCTTTGTTGATTATTTTTTGCATGTTTGTAGGTTATGTAAGACCATCCATAAAACAAAGCATTGTTTTTAAGATTTCACTTTCTAAGTAATCTCTACACCCGATGTGGGGCTTGATCTCACAACCCCGAGATCAAGAGTCCCATGCTCCACCGACTGAGCCAGCCAGTCCTTCCAAAACATTTTTGAATAAGTTATAAAAAACTTTTTATTTTTTATTTGTCTTCATTTTTTTAAAATGTGTGTGTGTGTGTGTGTGTGTGAGAGAGAGAGAGAGAGAGAGAGAGAGAGAGAGAGAGAGAGAGACAACGCACAGGAGAGGAGGAGGGGCAGAGTGAGAGAATCCTAAACAGGCTCCACGCCAACAGCGCAGATCCAAATGTGGGGCTCGTACTCATAAACCATGGGATCATGACCTGAGCAGAAACGAAGGGTTGGAGGCTTAACTGACTGAGCCACCCAGGCTCCCCTAAAAATTTTTTTAAAGTAAGCTCTCTACACAATGTGGGGCTTGAACTCAGGACCCCGAGATCAAGAGTGGCATGCTTTACTGACTGACCAGCCAGGCACCCCATGATTACAGTTTTTGAGAAATATTTATTTGATATTATTCATGGTGACTGAAGTTAACTTACCGTTTTCTTACTGCTCATTGTCTTTTTTATGTAAAATACTTTCTTTCACATAGTATTTTAGCCCTCATTATTCCTCTTCTCCACCACCAATGAAAGTAACTTTTCAGGACAATATTTTAGTTGAATTGACCATTTGAAAAATTATTTTATTCTAACTGGCCTGCTATCACACCTTTCAACAAATTCATTTTTCCTATATTTATATTATTTTGATTAACTTTATTCCAGTGTTTGGACCAAACAACTTTGTGGTTCTGATAAGATTATTTTAAAGAATTACATGGGTTATTACTATTTTTTTTCTGTTCTCATCACTACAGTGAATATGTTTCTTCTCACTTTTTTCTAATAAAAACAACTTTTGTGAGGGGCGCCTGGCTCAGTCGGTGAAGCGTCCAACTTCGGCTCGGGTCATGATCTCGAGGTTTGAGTTTGAGTCCTGCATCGGCTCTGTGCTGACAGCTTGGAGCCTAGAGCCTGCTTTGGATTCTGTGTCTCTGTCTCTCTCTGCCCCTTCCCCGCTCTCTCTCTCTCTCTCTCTCTCAAAATAAACATTAATAAAATAAAATAAAATAAGCAACTTTCGTGAATTATAGATTTTATATTATTTAGTGGTTTGTTGTACTTTTAGCAAGAAAACTTTAGTCACGTACAGAAAAATTAACTTATAAATGGCAGTAGACTTTTAGTTGGTATTGTCAGATTTTTTCATAAACTGTCAGAAGTACAAATGATTCAGGTATATAAAGTTTCTATTGTGATTGTGATGTTTCAGCATAATTTAAGATTATTGAAATATATAAATAGGGGCACCTGGGTGGCTCAGTTGGTGAAATGTCCAACTCTTGATTTCAGCTCAGGTCATGATCTCTCAGTTTGGTTAGTTTGAGCCCCACGTCAGGCTCTGTGCTGACCCTGTGGAGCCAGCTAGGGATTATCTGTCTTCCCACTTTGTCTCTCTCTCTGTGCCGCCTCCTCTCGTATTCTGTCTCTCTCAAAGTAAATAAACTTAAAAATATATATATATATATACACATATAAATAAATTGGTAGGTGACATTAATATTTGGGCCTACATAACTAAATCTACTTTCTCAATTATTTATTGACAGATATGTTTAAAGGGTAAAGTACACATATTTAAATACTTAAATATCCAAGCATGTTGCAGAATGGATAAGAAACCAGATTCTCTGGATCTTCCCTCGCTGAGTAAAAGGATGCCCTCCCAGCCTCTCACAGACAGGTAATGTAATATTCTTAATATTCATACAGTCTCATTTCATGATTGCTGTCTTCTCTGTAGGTAAAAGATACAGATTCATCTTGAGTGTACTGAATATATTTAGGTTGATTGGCCCAGGATTGAAATCAACAATTGACTGAAGTGAAATATCACCATCATAGAATTCTGTGATACTAGAATAAATTTGGGATTTTCTCAAAAAACTAAGTATTACTAGTATTTTGGTAGCAAAATGTAAATGTTTGACTTTATATTACAGAAACACTAATTTCTCAGCCCTTGGCAACTGTTAATTTATTATGATAATCCCTCTATTGTACTAACTAGTATTGTAATAACTAGTAGAATTTGATTTGGGGGTGAGACCTTTTAGGGTACCTTTCTCCTTTTCTTCATATTCTTTATGTCTGGATTAAAGATGACTTATCACTGATATTCTGTACGACATTGGTGTTTATCTCCTCGTGAGATTTTGAAATGGTAGATTTGACTATCTGTTTTTGATTCATCCTTTCGGGATGTCTGAAAGATTTTATGAAAATACAATTCCACCAAGTAGTATGGAAAATAATGTGGAATGGGGTGAGACTGCAGAAAGGGAGACTACACTCCTGCCTGAAATGTTTAAAGGTTTGTCATTTTATTTGTGACAAAGTTTAGAGTAATTGGAATGGCAGTATATTAAGTAGTGTTTTTGAATTCCCAAATGGGATGTTTTCTAGAATATTTCTGTTGCCTCAGTAGAATTAAATATGTACACATTATATTTAATTCCTAAAGATGATTCTGTTTAATATTATGAGTGATAATAAACCAAACAGTTCTATAAAAATTAGGCTTTATTCGTATTGTGATCTCTGTTAGTTTGCTTTACGTTTATGTAAAAATGAATTTCCTTTAGTAGTGACATTGATTATATTAATCATTTGTTTATTGTACCAATATCAGTTGAAACAAACACCAAATAGCAGTCAGATGCCTGCTGGCAGGTTCAGGGTATGTTTTGTTGAATGGCCTGTACCTTGGTGTCGGCCCTCATGGAGCCCACAGTCTAGTGGAGAAGGAGCCAGCCAGCAAATGAAGCAAAGAAACCTGATACACATGCACACATACGACTTCAAATTGTGGCAAGGGCTACAAAGGAGAGGAACATGTTTCAGGAGTGTGGTCAGGGAATGTCGCTTTGGGAAGGTGAGGTTTTAAGTCAAGACTTGAAAGGAGAAAAGCTAGCTGCGTAAAGACTAAGGGAGGAACATTTCAGGCAGAAAGAACGACACGCGCTAAGACCCGAAGTTAGGAAGAAACTTGGTGTGTTAAAGAAACTGAAAGGCCAGCACGGTCAGAGCAGAGTGACTGAAGAAAAAGACGTCCAAGTTGATTTTGGAGAAGTAGTCAGGCCTCAAGTCACGTGGGGGCTTTGGGGGCTGTGGTGTGCAGAGTTTGAATTTTACTTACAGTGCAGTGGGAAGTCAGCAGACAGTTATGAGCCGCGGAATAACATGATCTGGTTTATATTTAAACAGCTATTTTGGCTTTTGAAAGGAGCATAGATTGGAAGTAAACAAACGTAGAAGCACAGGGACTAGTTAGGTTGTTGAAGTACTGCCAAGAGATCAAGGGGTCTGGAATAGGGTGGGTGCGGTGGAGATGAAAAGGAGTGGAAAGAACGGAGATGTATTTAGAGATGGTCTCTAGCACTGGTGTCCAATAGAAGTGGAATATAAGCCACATGTGTAATTTTACATTTTCTTGTAATCCATTAAAAAAAAAAAAGCAAAAATGGGGCGCCTGGGTAGGCCCAGTCAGTTAAGCGTCCGACTCTTGATTTCGGCTCAGGTCATGATCTCACGGTTTGTGAGATCCAGCCCCTCTTGGGATTCTCTCTCCCCCTCTGTCTCTCTCTGTCTGACTCTCTCTCTCTCTCTCTCAAGATAAATACACATCAAAAAAAAAGTAAAACTGAAACAGGTGAAATTAATTTTAATGTTACTGAACCCAGGATATCCAAAACCCGTAATTACATGTTTCAACATGTAATCCCTATAAAAAATGTAAGGTTTTCCATTCTTTTTCTGTTACATCATTGAAATCTGGTGTGTGTTTTTCATTTATAGCACGTTTGAGTTTAGACTAGCCATATGTCCAGTGCTCAACAGCCATATGATGGTTAGTGGCTACTATATAGGATAGTACAAGTCAATTGAATCTACTTATGAAGCGACTCTTAGGCGTGCTAATTTTCTACTCACAGGCTGTTTTGAACTACTTAGAAAATCCCTGTGTGCACTTTCCACCTCTACGCTTATGCCTTTGTCTCTTTGATTCTTACTACCTAGAATAGCCTTCTGTGCCTTGGCGATTTTGTAAAGTATGTATTCTACATAGATAAGCATTACAGTGGTTAGGTATATCAACTTTTGCAGTCAGGCATAATATACCCATGAAGCCCTTCTCTGACTCTTGATAACTTCATGTCCTTGTGTCATAATGTCTGTAGTCCTCAGTGTTCTTACATTTGTAAAAAGGGAAATAATCATATGGATGCTGTCGGGATTAAATTAAATAATGTATATAGAGCACTTAACACGCCTTACCCATAACAGTTCCTCAACTAATAGCTTATTGTTATCATTGCCAACTATCACAGATACGCATAGATTTTAGTATAGTACACGGATGTATTATTGTGCAGTGGCGTCAGGTGGATTTTGCTTCTAATCATGGTTTAACCTCTTAATTCTTCTTTTGCCTGCATAAGTTGTTTACTGTCTCTGAGCCTATTTCTTTGTTTAAAATGTTAACAACACCCACTTCAAAAGCTTGTTGTGAGAATTAAATGTGTACTCGGCAACTAGTTCAAGACATGATATTCAGTAAGGGTTCTGTTTTTCCCCCCTGGGAGGGTAACTTTTAGAAGTTCTGTTCTCATTTATGAAAAGAAATGATGCATGAATTGCAGAATGTAAGGATTATAAATAAAATACAATGTGTACCTGGCACAGTAGCTAATAAGGACACTCCATAAATGCTAGCAATTATTGCCTCTCTTCATCCTTCTAGACTAAGCTCCAAAGCCACTTTCTTGGGTGAGGCCCTTCCTAACCTTACCAAGGAGAATTAATTGATCACTCTTTTCTCATGTTACTTGATATATTTACCTTTGTCATAGTCTTCAAAATACACACTCCCCCTCTGGGCTGAGAGCCCTTTGAGGCCAAACATTTGTTTAATTCATCTCCTATCTTTTCAGGCATTCAGCATAGTGTCTGACACTTGGTAATTGCTCACCTGAGTTTATTTAATTTTTTATACATATATAGTTTTAAATCTTTATGTTCCTTTATTGGAGCAAGACTCCTGACCCGTATACACTGATGTAGTACTTACTAAGCATGACCTGTGCAGAAATTATACGTGCTATCCATCTAGACAGGTTTTCATTACCCTTTGCCTATCGATGGAATCGTTCCATTTATAAAGTTTCATGCATCAGAAAACTTTGAATTTGACCTGGCTATCCACGAATTCCTCTCTGAAAAAGTTAAGTGGCATTTAATTTTAGCTATCATCCTTTACAGCATGAAAAAGCTTATGCATTAGGTAGCTTCCCAAAATGTTAGTCTGCGCACAATGGCATTTAGCGGAGCCGAGCCGGTCATTCTCACCCAGATTCACACAGACAGGCCTCGCTTGAGAGCCGTGCGCGAAATAGCTAGTACTTTGAGACGAAAGTACTCCTGAGTTCACCACCAGCACAGACTTCTCTTGAGAGTCTGTCTTCTCGGCCACATCTCATAGTGCCACTGAAGACAGGCCAGCAACCGCCCTTCGTGTAATTCGGCATTAGAGCACCAGGTCTGTCTGACCGCGGTGGCAGGCACTGTGATTATATCCAGGTAAATAAAGGCCCATTTTTAAAAACGCTAATTTGGGATACAAATCAAGGGCACAGCATAATCAGAACTGACTTTTGAGCAATCTGGTACCCCAACTGAGGTGGAAGATTTCAGAAGCTGATAGCAAATCGTACCCATTAATTCAAATCCCTTTCTCAGTCCACACAAGCCCTGAGGTCACCCGGCAAAGTGCATGTCAAAAAATACGGAGTCAGGGTGACCAAGTTTGACAATACATTATATGACTCAAACTTGGCAAGTCATAATGAAATACATCTGATCTGAGAGAAAAGCATCAAATCCTTTTTGTAGAAATTTAGTTTTATTGTAACAAAGCAACTTGTACACGTTTAACGTTTAAAACTGAGCATCATCTTTCCAATGAAAGAAAAAGATATTTAAAAATAAACAAGAACAAAATTCCAAGAGAATGTCAATTCTAAATAAGATCCTACAGGTTCTGCCGACTCTCCTGGCAAGTGGCAGGGCTCAAATCATCATCAGGAGAGAATTTTGTTGTAAGAGGGTCATCTTCAGCTGCAAGGATGTCTGTTAAACATCACAATTATAAACCTGCCAGAGCAGAAGCCATGTGGTCAAAATGCCCGCTCAACCCACCCAAACATCTCACCCTTTGCTGACCTTCTCTAATCCTATTTTTTAAAGTTTTCTTTTTTTTTTTTAAACAAGAGAAAGTAGACAGATAACGGTGGTAAATGCTAACTGTCCATATTCAGAGACACAGTGTACTACTCTCTGAGCCCAGTATACAGAGAAAGGAGGGAAAAAGCTAGAATTCTATGCACTGCTACACAGGGGCCTAAACACCCTCCAGCTTCCAGCAGAGCTAAGGGAGCAGAACGTTTGTCTTTTTTTTTCCCCACAGAACATGGCAGTGCTGATTCCATAAAGTTTTTGTTGAGACGAAATTTTTAAAGGGATAAAAATGAATTTGGAACAGAAAGGGGTAGAGATTCTTTTCCCAGTGTATTCTGCTCAACGTATTCCCCCTCCCCCCCCCCCCCAATAAGTAGAGAACCATGGCATAAAGGGAGAGAAAAGAGACTTCAAAACATAAGGCAAACGAGGGGCGCCTGTGTGGCTCAGTCCAACTTGGGCTCGGGTCGTGATCTCACGGTTTGTGGGTTGGAGCCCCGCATCCGGCTCTGCGCGGACAGCTTGGAGACTGGAGCCTGCTTCGGGTTCTGCGTCTCCCCCTCTCTCCGCCTGTGGCTCTCACGCTGCTTGTGTCTCTGGCTCTCTCTCTGAAAAACAAACAAACAAACATTTTTAAAAAAATGAAGTACACAAAAAACAGGGCAAATGAGCACAAGAGGAGGAGAAGGGCGGGGGTGGGGGGGTGGGGGTGGGGAAGACTGCAAGTTGCTCCCAGAGACTGGAGAAAACTGAAAAAGGAAGGTTGGCTTCCATCCGCGTTCCATTAGTCACCTTTGTCGTCATCCGGCTCGCCTTTCTCCCCCTTGTCATCATCTTCACCTTCTTCTTCCTCTTCCTTCTTCTCTTCTTCTTCCTCTTCTTCTCCTTCCCCTTCTTCCTCTTCTTCTCCTTCCCCTTCTTCTTCTTCTTCCTCTTCCTCTTCTTCTTCTTCTTCCTCTTCTTCTTCTTCCTCTTCTTCTTCTTCTTCTTCTTCTTCTTCTTCTTCTTCTTCCTCTTCTTCTTCTTCCTCTTCTTCTTCGTCTTCTAATTCTTCGTCATCATCATCTGTATCAGGAAGCAAGTAGTACTGCAGTGGATTTGGCCAAATATCATCTTTGATGAGCTCGCCTAACTCATCCACGTCTGCATCAGGATGGTTAGTGAACCAGGCGAAAAAGCTCTCAGGTTCTTCATACTTTCTCTTCCTGCTGCCCATGTTCGGTGCCTGACTTGAACGTTTCGTCAGATCCTTTCCAGATTTCCATATGATTTCGGTGGACTTCAAAGATGCATCACCACTCTCATTCACGTGAAATTCCTTGGAGAGAACTTTATTTTCGAAGTAAGGGTTTTCATCAAAATATAAATCTATTTTGTAACCTGACTGGGTATCTTCAAATTCTGCCACTTCAACTCTTGTCAGATAATGCAGCGCCGCTTCATCCTCCTCCCCAAGCAGCGCAGACACTTGTGGATGGTTGACGAATGTTGTTACCCAAAAATTTGGGATTTTGGCGATCGCTTCCGACCTCTTCTGAAAAAACGGTTGGCAGAGTTTGTTGTATTTCTCTTCGATTTTCAGGATCTCCTCGCTGGCTTGTTCATTAAGTATGTCGATTTCACTCTGTATTTCATCTATACGTTCAATCGCTTCTTGCTGTTCTTTTTCTGCGGTCTCGCCGGACCCGTCGTCGTTGGAGTTGAGCTTTTTACCGAGTTCGGCCGCCGGCGCCCACATGGTGCTGCTCCGCGGTCGCGGTCACGGTCGCAGGGAACAGGAGAGAAGGGAAGGCGAAGGGGGCAGGCAGCGGCTTCCCCTCACGCCTCACGCCACACGGGTCACACGCGCGGGCGCTCGCTCGTTCGCTCTATGCGACCTCCCGGCGTTCAGCCGCCTCCTCCCGGCGCGCCGTCGCTCGCTCTGCCTCGTAGCTCACGAGCGCGCTTCCTGACGACGTCACGGCCTGATGATGGGGCGGGGGGGGGGGGGGGGGGGGGGGGGG